TTTAATATAAATTAAAAACTATAATGTAATTTTAAATTGGTTTATTGTTAATGAAATAATAATAATAATATATTGTATTATTATTCTGTGGACTGATAATATTGATATGATTTATTTAAATGATAACATATGCCACGCCCCCTTAGAGACCGTGCTCAAGGCCACAGTCACCCGATTTTGCCAATACACAGAGTGTCTATACCCTGATAGTAGGTATACGGTATATTAATTAATAAATATAAATATGTATACAGCGGCTATTTTAGAAATTATATTAGAAATGGTAATTCAATAACAATTAACAAATAACAATATTATATATAATAATATACATAATATGTATGTCTAAATAAATTCTATCATATAAATAAAATTATTATAACCGTCGTCTAGAAGGAAACTCCGTCAAGCCTAATACGAGAGAGTACAAGAAAATGACAAATTGAAATAAATCCATCTATTATTAACAGCCAATAGGCACTACGAATAAAATTCCAGTAACGCTCCACGTGGAGCAATTAATTTAATTATTTTATGTAAATAATCGATACAATATTTCTTATCGATAGATTGTTAAATGAAAACAATAGTGTGACTAAATGATTTTATATCGATTTTTAAAATTCGATGGTAGACATAACGCGTGAGCCGCGATAGTTCGGTGCGCGTGATTCGTCTTTCAAGAGTAAAATGTCATAATATATATATAGGTAGGTACCGCAAGATATCGGTTTTGTGTTTTTCCGTTTTTATCATACACCGTCAAGTTATAAAGTATAAATAGAGAAATTTAATTTGGTGACTATAACCATTGAACAACACTATTACAGTTGTCCTACACGCGTCTTGTGTCTACACTATAACAAATACATTTGACTATTTGAGATTTGCCATTCTGCCGTCAGACGTCGACTCTGCACGTTACTAATCTTTAATTTATGCGCGTTACTATATACAATTTATATTTTTTACTACATTCACTAATTCACTCAAACTATTAAAAATAAACATATAAGTACATATTCATTAAATAAAGAATGTATTTATTAATATTAATCAGCATTAAAATAATAAAATGTAATCTTCCCTTATCCTTCCATTTGTCATATTGCCTGAATTACATACTGCATTACTGCCACACCAATACCTACAACTAAGTTATAAGTTACAACCACTAATATCAGTAATCAATATATTCAAAATTATAAATGCAGTACCTACCTATCTATAAAATTAGGTTTAACATCAAAATGTTTCGACTTATGAAACTTAATTGTAGAAACTATGAACACTATCTGTGCACACAGACCACCATTGGTTAGTCACTGATTTTTGTATGTTATATGTGTTAGTAAGACAGAGAAAAGACATACGATTACAATGTCCTCTTAAATACTTGTTTACAATTTTTTTAAACTTAAAATTTAAAGATGAAACTAACATATTTTATTTTATTGCAATCGTTATTTCATTATTTGAATTGAAATCGAAATCGAAAATAAATAAAACTGGTATTCAAAGTCAAAACGGAAACATGATTTCTCGAAATCGTTATTTGAAATGGAAATCAAAATCGAAAATGTATAAAATCGGTATGCAAAGTTAAAACAGAAAAACGTAATTTACCAAAAACGGTATTTTAAATTGAAATCAAAATCAAAAATATATAAAACCGGTATGCAAAATCAAAACGGAAAACATAATTTCTTGAAATCGTTATTTGAAATAGAAATCAAAATCAAAAATATTTAAACCGGTGTGCAAAGTTAAAATGGAAAAACGTTATTTCAAATTTAAATCAATACAATTAGTATACAAAACCGGTATGCAACGTATTAATTGAAACCACTGCAATTTTTTAAAACCGTTATCTGAAATCAAAATCGAAATCGGTAAAAGTAAATACCAGTAACCGAAACCGAAATTGAAATCCAAAAAATTTTTTTCGCTTTCAAGTCCTGCTTTAAACCACTTAATTGTGACAATATTGTAAAAAATATATTTACTTATAAAAAAAAACATAATAACTTTAGAGCATCTATCAAACTCAACTTCATTTTTTATCAAGCTTAGAAGTGTTTTTATTTTAAGAGAACGCTACACAGATATTTGTTGTCTCTGTCTTAAAAGTGGCAAATTTACGGTCAACAGAACCTGACTCCGTTAGTTAAAATTTAGAGTGAATTGAAGTATTATAAACTTGATGAAACAAGTTTCTAAAAATTTTAACTGCAGTAAAAAAGTAAAAACCCACATACAAACACAGGTAATATTCTTGACATCAAGTTTCATAATAGGTCGATTCACTCTTATTTTAAACTAACAGAGCTAAAGTGCTAAACGTGATCTGCTGAGAGTAAATTGTCCATGCTAAGCACTTTTCAACACTTGTAAGACGGAGACAATATTAATTGCCATCACGATTTAAGATATAGATAGATAGATACAGATATTTTTAAGATATAGTATATCTTAAATCGTGATTGTCATGTAGCGTCCTCTTAAAGTAGGTACCTACTTACCTAATAAGTGAACAGATTATACAAAATAGTACAAAAGTCTTAAGATAAAAAATCTCGACCCAAATTCACTGTGGTTATATGTTGTTATTTCTACCCATAAAATGTCTTATTTTTCTTCTATCAATAGTCAATATCCACAACCATAAGCGCAACTAGGGGGGAGGGCTTAGCCACCCTAAAACTTGTAACAGCCCCCTCAAAATAAATTATTCTATTCTTTCCTAAAATATTAACAAATCTTTAAAAATTAAACTGTATTTCTTATTTTTTTTTTTGGAAAATAATGTACCTAATTATTTAATTTTTTTTAATTTAAACTTTTTTTTTTATATTGCCTATGATAAATATGGTAAATATCATAAGCTGTATGTTTGTATTCGTTTTAAGGAAACAATGTATGTCGGTATGATATAAATTATTTTGTATTTGGTAAGATTATTACACATCATTTTACGGTACACCTATGCACTGAACTATAACATTAAGATAGGTAATAGCAGAATACAAATCCCCTGAAAATAACCCTGATCCCAGGAAAGATAACCGCCAGACTTAGACTACAATATTACTGACAACCACATGGCATTTTTAAAACCTAATTAGTGTGATTATTTAATTTTTACATAATTAATATTTAATTACAAATATATTATTATACTTATGTAATTAGCCTATAGGTATACTTTTCTTTAAAAAAATTGATACATAATAAATAATATTTAAAAACTAATATTATTATTATTATAATATTAACAATAATATTATTTTGTTTTATATCACAATGTGAAACAACATATGTTAATAGTTCTTTTAAAAGATAACTGATTAGGTACCTACATTCATTAACTATTTGTTTAATAATCATTTATTTTATTTGATGTATCGACCATTCGAAATATTTTTATTTTATAATCGTTTAAATATTGTATCTACCAATATTAATTAAAACCTGTAAAATCTACTTCTAATAATAATAATCATTTTTTTACACATCGTTAAAATATTATTAGGAAATGTAATATTTTATTTCGGGGATACAATATTATAATATATAATATAAAGGAATTAAACAAAAAATATTATTGTTAATGTTTGAAAATTATAATATAAATATTAAAAAATACAGTTAAATTCAATATTTGAGTAAGTAAATAATTTATTTTGTTTGTATGATATTTTTATATTTTTAATTGAACATATATGTGGGTTACTTTTCATGTAATGTCAGGTGGGGGCTACAGCCTCCCAAAATGTCAGCCCTAGTTGCCCCACTGCCCACAACCCGCCAGTGAGTTATTTAAGGTATTGCCTGAGCAACACTTGGACAATAATATGTTACACACCACTGCAGCCTGCAGGGTAAACCTAAATGAAAATTCAAAATACTATAAATTTCAATTAGCTATAAGTAATGACCTTAGAATAAGTAGGTAGATACATTAAATTTTTATTGAATGGTTATAAGAGCATTTTCTACACACCATACAATATTTTGACTCTTGTTGAGCTATATTTATAGGCAATTTTCAATGAACATTTTTGAGTTTTGTTAGTTTTTTTAACTATTGTCGATAAAAAATTTTTCGGTCTGTCAAAAACCTTGAAAATGTAATACAACGTTCCTAATAAGTTGATGTTAAGGGAAATCGAAAAAAAAAGGTTCAGCGTAAATCCACAATATTTTTCAAGAGCGTCTGAAGTTAAAATATTGATGAAATTCATCAAAATCACGAAAAGTGTCAAATTATTTCGAGTTACAAATTCATATAAAAATGTCCATTTATATCTTAACTTAGAAAATTTAATATAAGGCAAATAAATAATGTATAATATTTAAATATAAAGTATTTAGTATATTATACCACGTTTATAAATATTCAACGATTCTACGTAAATATTTTAATAGAAATAATCTCCAACGGAAAACCGCAAACTAGCTATTTATAGTTTACAGTAGAGATGGGCAAAATATTTTGAATATCGATGTTCAATATTTAAAACATCGATTGTTTAGATAAATCGGATTCTTGGAAAACCTCGATGTCTTTTGATGTTAATTAGAAAAAGAAGACTGCGTCTAGATACCCGGGTGTCTAGATTGGTTATACGACGGTTACTCTGTGGTTACGAAGGTTACCAACTTGAGGAGGAAAAAAACTTCGATATTTTTCGCGATACATCGAACTCCATCGAAGACTAAAAATGGAAATAGAATGGTAATAGAACAAAAACCTCGATGTTGTTTGCACCCAGATAGCTCGCGATTTACGTTGGCAATTCCGGAATCCATTTTGTCCGTTAATCGGTTTTCGGTAATCGACGTATTATTTCAACGATTTATTCAATTTATTATTGTGCTGTATGTCGGTGGTGCTCGGTGTGTCGCCTAGCGGTGAGTGGTAACGCGTGTTTGTGCGCCCGACTTCGATCAAGATCTAGACATAACCACAGGACGAAAAACGAATTGACGTATCCGAAATGGAATATGACAACTTTTCGCACTACTCCAAACGGCTGCTTTCGGCTAACGTGCTAGGCGACGTTTACGTGGACTTATCCAAGCTGAAATCGCCCAAAAGCCGTTTCATGTTCACGCGTGACCTGCTTCTCAGACACAAAATGCTGGCCCAGACGTTGGACATCGAAAGGCAGTACGATCATCCAAACGTGTCGACGAACCTCCGAGATCAAGGCAACGAGTTTTTTAAGGGCGAGAAGTTCAAGAAGGCCGTCCACATGTACACCAAATGTTTGGAGGGCAGCGATCCGAACACCGAGTGCTACGCGCTCGCGGTGGCCAACCGGTCGGCCGCGTACTTCTACCTGGGCCTGTACCAGCTTAGCCTAAAGGACGCGCGCTGGGCCATGGAGTTCAATTATCCGTCTAATCTATCGCACAAGCTGTACGAGCGGGCCGGAAACGCTGAACGAGCATTGGGCTTATACGGACGGGCGACGCAGAGCTACACCGAGTGCCTGAAGCGAATGTATGAGGGGGGCATTTGTTCGGATAAGAGGAAGGCGGCGATCGCAAAGGCCGTGACCGAATGCAAGGAATTGTTTACTAAGCAAAAAAAGAGCAAGAAAGTACCTCCCGCTGATGAGCAGCTGGTTGGCGGAAGAAACGAAAATATTCCAGCACTATCGGCATTTGTAGAACTGAGAATGTCCAAGAATATGGGACGAGGTGTTTATGCCACCCGCGACATTAACCCCGGTAAGTGACATAGGTAGCTGTTTTTGGCGGAAAATTGTAAAAGTTTTAGAAATAAAATATTTCATTATAAATTACATAGGTACCAGCTGCCTACCTATTATTAAGGGTATTATTATAATATAGATACATTACCTCAGTCAGTGCCGGATTGGTATGTATCAGCCCATCGAGATTATCTTTTATAAACAGCCCATTTACATATTCTCTGGCCCAAAATTACGTTTATAATTGTTACGAGCTTATAGGCGGCTAATCATATTTTAATCATGATTTTATTTTCACCCATACTCACACGACTGGCCCCACGGAGCTCTCTGACCAATCTGGCCCTGTATTAGGTATAGGTATTATAAATTAAATAATACAGTAAACTCGTTATGTCAAAACTCAATAGTAATTTCAAATGTTTTCAAATTTGCTTCAGTGACAAGTAAGTGTTATAAATCACGCGAAATATTTGTTCATCAAAACCAGGTGGCTCTCATACTATACAAACTTGATTTTTATACAAAGCCCTGTTGACTGTCACCGTTAATACTTAGCTCAGATAAACAATTTTTGGATATTTTAGATTTTTTTTAGTTAAGCAATGTTCTTTTTCCCCCTCAGACTTTTTTGACTAATATCTTGGAACTTGACAAATGTTATAATAAAAATATATAAAAATGAGTGCTCCTGAGTAAGTCTAGGAGAATTATTTTATTTATTAGGTAAATAAAAAAAATACCGAACAATAGTTATGTGCTATGACATTATGTTATCCATATTCCATACCTATGTTAACTTTACCTTTTCTTTTTTAGGTGATGTTGTGGCCATTGATGAACCTTACATTGGTGGGCCTGTTTCACATCACACAGATGTTTGTCATTATAGTGGTTGCCTGAAGTTAAACTTGGCTCTTATTCCTTGTCCAAAATGTTTATTGGTATGTTTTTTTTTTTATCATCGTAAGAAGTTATAATATTATGATGTATGCATTATATAAAGTCAATATAGGTACATAGGTATTATTTCTATTTAGTAATTTATTATTTTTTAAAACAAAATTACTAATAATTTGTCTAAACCTGAAACAATTTTAACAATTCTGATTTCTGACTATACCTACATAGTTTTAAAATAACCTGATGATTTTTATTGATTCATCTGCAAATACGTCTTTAATGAAAAACCACATTTCTATTATGCATATGCCTATTATTAGGTACCTACCTACCTAAAATTTAAGATTATGGGATAGAAAATAATTTGTTAATATGTTAATATACTTTGTTCAGGTTTGTTACTGCAATAAAGACTGTATGAATAAAGCTAACGAAGAAGGACACTATTTAGAATGTCCAATTATGTATTTCATCAGATCAACACCAGGAATAACAAAAATGAATGAACTTGCTATGAAGTGGTTTTTAAAAGACTATTTGAAAATGGGCTTAAAAAAATATTGTTTGATAGTTGATAACTTTTCCAAATCTAAAATTGATCCTCAAACAAGGGGTTTTGATGAGACTGGTCAATATAAGTCAGATAATTTTTTAACGGCTTATTCTTTGGATAGTAGTGAAAACAAAGTTCCAATAGATGTTTTGTTTTTTTTTAATTGTATCGCTGTTGATATGTTGCATTGTTTGATTTTAAGTGGCTTCAAAATTCCAAAATGTTATATAGGTTCTGTGGGGGCTTCCTTGGTGCGTATTCTCATTGTTTTAGATTTAAATTGTAGAAAGTTAAATGTCAATGCCCCTACTATATCTTTACAAAGAAGACGCCAAACTACTCTTACAATAGCATTAACTTTGTATCCAACTATTTCCTTGTTCAACCATTCTTGTGATCCAAATATAAAACGGAGTGGAGAATTATCTGATAGAATAAGAGTTATGAAAGCAATTCAACCAATTCCCAAAGGATCTCAGGTGACTATATAGATATTTTTATTATTATTATTTTATATTTCTGTGTAAAATTATGTTACTTTAAGCCTTAAGGTGTACGTGTATTACAATAATAACTAATGGACACATTTTAGATTCAAAGGAATTTTTATATTTTTATGTGACACTGGGTTAAAGGACTATTCTAACAGTAATAAATACCATTGTTTATTAAATGAGAATTGAGAGACGTTATAACATTTTACATTGATACCTAATTACATATAAACATTTTAAAATTAAGGTTAGTGGCATATTTATAGTCTTATGATATAATCTACTTCTTTTATATATAATAGGTACAATAAAAATATAATACAATTTAAAATAAAAATTTTTTAATTGATGGCTGAGTATTTATCACTGTTCGTGAATCGTGGCTGCTACTATAATATATATTTATAACATAACAGAAAAGATAATTTGTAACCTAAAAATACCATAAAACTGTCATCTAATAATAATAATAATAATAATAATAATAATGTACAAGGGCAGTGTATTTGTCCTCTATAAAGGTGCATTATAAATTCTTACAGAGGATAAACTATTTACATTTATACTCTTGATGGTTCAAGTTTTATATTTTCCCCATTCTACATTTGGAAATAGTGGTATCATGGTATCAGTGTTAATTGGTTTGATGATGATTGAAGCAATGAATTGCGGTATCTCGTAATTTATTTTATTTTGGTGCGTTATAAAACGCTTGCTTATAAAATATTATATAGATTTTAGAAACAATATGATACTACAATATTGCCATTATATAGACACATGTCACCTGATATGTTTAAAATAAAACAGAAATATATTAGGTGAATGTGTTAAAACATTCTCTTTTGTGACTCCTCCTTACAACATTTTTGTTATAATATCTATTACATTTATATTTATTTAGTTAGTTGTTAAATTAACACCTTATGTATTTGTTGTATTTGTAATTAGTTGTGCAGTACTTATGGAATAATCTTTAGAGGACACACCAAAGAATCAAGACAAGATATTTGCAACAAACTTTTTTACTTTAAATGCTATTGCCAGCCGTGCATAGAGAATTGGCCAATATGTCATTATATACCTAATCGTCTTTCTACACTGTATGTTATATACTTAAATTTTATTATTGTGTTTTATGTATAAATATTATGATTGTTTGATTATTATATGTTTTTAGAAATATTCTGAACTCTAATATGGCAGATATTGTGTCATCGGAGTGCGAAAAGTTTGTGAAATTTATGAAGTCGCCAAAATCAGAAGATAATTGTGAGCATTTAGATTATTTATATTCATTTATTAAGCTATTGTTTACTAATGTAAAACGACCATTTCAATTATACGAGGATTGTCTTGAAATTATAAGTACTATGCATACCATAAGTTCCAGTCAATTATACATTGGTGTTATAGATATTGATTGATATTTCACTTTTATCATAATATTATGTTTTATTATAGCTAAATAATTTTTATTTATTTAAAAAATAGCAGTTTGTGTTTAACTATTCATATAAGTGATTGTTTTATGATTTGAAGTTATATTGGTTTTTTTTTCTTTAAATTAGATTCATTAATTCTATTACATTATATTAAGAAGATTATTATTTTTTTTTTATTGTTTAGATTATTAACATTATTATACTTTGACTATAATATAATGTATGTCTAAATTTCTTACTACTACAATACCAAATTTTTGGTTTACCTACATTCCAAAGTGTTTAATGTATGTTATTAATGCCAGGATTAGAATATTTAGTCGTCGTTAAAAATTACTGATCTTGTTATTTTAGGTTTTCATTACCTATTTAACGATGTATTTAATAGCGGCATATTGGTATGTGTATGCCGTTTAGATACAGATAATATTTTTCGTCGTTGGAAATCAATAAACATAAAAAATATGTATTTATTTACCAAATATGTAATATTCGTAACAAAATATGTAAAATAAATTGGGGTTTGTTTCAATGAGAATAAACTAAATCATATACATTCTTTATCAATTTAAAAATATCTCATTCCAATAAAAATATGAATGTACAATAAAATCCTCTACCAACTCACAGTATGAGTAAATAAAGTGAGTGTTGCTCTCACCTAATAGTAAAAACTACTTGAGTGTAGATGAATTATATTATATCATTTACTTCATAAATGTAATCGTAAAACAATATTATGTATATTGAAAAAATCAAATTTCAAAGAATAATATTAGAATAATATTAGAAACATATTTTATGAAATAAAAAATGCTTATAATGTAGTTTTTAAATTGTACTGTTATTATAAATACTTATAATTTAAAAAAATGCTGTAAAACAATGTAATATTGTAGTCTCATTGAAAAAAAATACCGATTGGGTTACTACTTACTAATGGAAAAAATCTACAGCAAACTGACCAGTGATCGGTAATGGACAGTGGTAGTGGGTCTAGTGCTCGGAAATTATTGCACTTGAAAGGACAAAATTTGCATGCACTTATGTGCCTAAATGGTACAAATATGCACTTATTATATTGTTTTTACTCACAATTTTTATAAAAAACGGGAATTAGTATATCAACTAGAAATTTGAAAAATGTGATTATACTTAGTGAAAACTTTCAAAGTAAATATATATATTATAAAGAATTTTTTTTTATTATTTTAAAATTGTATTATAAACATATCATTAATCATTGATTAATATGCTCTAAAAAATGGTTAGGTTAGGTATGGCTAACCTCAAGGAAGTGATTTATCACCAGACCTCTGCAACATTTACACAGCTGACATTCCCAACTCCGAAAATACACTGATAGCCACTTACGCCGACGACACGGCAATCCTCTCATCCCATTCCGATTCCACAACAGCATACCAAAACCTCCAAATTCATCTTGATAATATTTCAAAATGGTCCATCAAATGGAGAATAAAAATCAATTCAGACAAGTCCTTTCACATTCCTTTTACTTTGAGAAAAGCTGTTCTTCCTAATATCTATTTTCAAAACAATCCAATCCAAACCTCAACTCAAACCAAATACTTAGGTTTAATTTTAGACAAGCGTCTAACTTGGGGCCCACACCTCAAAATCAAAAGAAAGATTCTTAACTCCAGACTTCATCTTTTACGGCCTATTCTCAAGTCCAAACTATCTATTGATAACAAATTACTAATATACAAATCTATGTTAAAACCTATCTGGGCCTACGGCATCCAAATATGGGGATGTGCCAAGCCTTCCCAAATACGGACTATACAAGCCTTCCAGTCTATTTCCCTTCGCCTAATAACATCTGCGCCATGGTACGTCTCAAACCTCTCACTACATAAGGATCTTAAAATTGAAACAGTCTCTAAAACAGCCAAAAACTACTACAAAAATTTACACACCAAAACAGCTAACCACACAAATCCACTGATTTCCAACTTGGCCAGTGAATTCATGCCTAACAACCCTCCACGTCGATTAAAAAGACACTGGTGTCGCGATCTCCTGAATCCCGACCAGCACTAATATAAAAAAAAAATAATAATAAATAATAAAACCTCTCCCCCAAGCTAGAGGGTATCCAGTATCCACACTGGTGGGCCTCCCTCCTCAAGCCATTCATGTTGTTGTATTCTTTCATTACCAAATTTACTCATTGTATATAATATAAAATTACAGATTGTAAATATTCTATTTTATCTAATAAAAAAAAAAAAAAAATGGTAAAATTGAAAAATATGCTAAAAAAAACCAAATCACTACCTTTATAAGCAAAAATATGTACTATACATTTTTAATATTTTTTTTTGTAGTGTCATGAAATTCATTTGAAGCTTACTTAGCAATCATACTTATAGCCCAATATTAACGTGTAAATGCAACAACTACCGAGCCCTAATGGAAACACTTAAAGCTTTCATCTCTGCATTTGTTTAATAAGCAGAATAAGCTACGACATAGTTGAAAAACATTTTCATAATCCAATGTTTCTGCTTGAAGATTCATTTTTTATTACCAATGTATATATTATAATAGGTTTAATCTATTGTTTATTAAATTGAAGTGAAGAAATATTTAATAATTATAATTAAGTATTCTGACACTGAATTCTGTCGTTCAGCTACGTATAATACATGCATATAGCAAGAATTTATTTTGTATCTAAGTAGCCTATGTTAATTTCTATTACATATACACGGTAATGGACCACCTTGCTTCCATAATTAATTATGTTAGTAAGAATATAATTTATTATTAATGATCACTCAAACAACTTTATGTACATAATAATATATTGCCATATTGAATCCTGTAATGTTTTCAATGATTTTATGAGACAAAAATTAAGCCTGAAAAATGCATAATAATGCATGCACTATGTATTAACAAAGCTAAATAGAAGATTATTAAAGTTCCGTTCACCGTTAAAAGCATTTCATAACTTCCCCGGTCACCATAAAAGTATAAAAGGTGAACACTTATTTTCCCAAATGGTATAATTGTATAAACATTTTTAAAATCCATAACAAAACAAACATTTGGAAGAACCTATTTTATATTGTTAATTATTGTTGTTATATTAAAACTATTGGGAATTTTTTTCTTTTGACACCTTCAAAGTAACAACTAGATTCATTTTCCAACCAGAAAAGATGCTGTTGAAGAATATCGAAGCACTTTTACTGTTTCCAAAGTTAATGACATACATAGTTGTAAAATCAATATATATTCAGAACCTAAAATATTTGATAGTAAAAACTTGTTTTTTCAAAAATGTTAAATTTAAATGAATAAATTATATAAAAAAAAATATTGTGTCAAGCACTGACTGTCAATTTGGTCATGTGAATATTACATTGTGTTATCTTGTATAACAGCCAAAAAATAATAATATTTAATTGGAAAAAATCTTGTATTATATAAACACAGGTTTTAGTTTCATTAAATAATGGTTTATTTTATTTCGAGGATTGCTGTATTATTAATTACAACAATATTAGGTTTTGAGTATGAATAATTTAATGAACAAAAAAAAAGTATACAATTAAAAACAAATATAATTCTACTACTGTCGATAAACTGAAACAAAATCAAATGTAGGTACATCACAACTTATTATAAAATGAGATAAGGTAACCAAGAAAATATAAAAACTATTCACCTACCCCCATAAAAAAAAATGTCAACAAAAATTAACAACATAGTTGTTGATATTAATAGAATTACTAACTTCGTATATTGAGTGTAAATATGTTATATGATAACCTTGTCTGGGTGTAACAAGGGGCTGTAGCCATTATTGTTATAGTTACTGGCTTTCAAAAAGAAAAATTCAGTTACAAAATTATTGTTTCGGCCAAGCATACAATGGTGGCAACGCTGAGGAATAACTGTAATCGTATAGCTGAGCTTTGATAAATTCGATTTTGTCTTCTGGTTCAGGGAACGTACTGGCCACACCAGTTTTATATGCGTAATCAATTACTTTGTCGGCGATTTTCAAAGAGCACTCTTGTATGGACTGTAGTGGTGGGTATAGACTGCCGTTTTCTAAATCTTCTTCAGTCACAAGTGCCGCTAATGTCTAGATAAAAAAAAAAAAATGAACATTAAGGTCACATCCAAATAATGTATTTTTAATGTCATGAATGACCCATACTTGAGCAGCAATGATGAAAACTTCTTCAGATATTGTCTTGATTCCAGCACAAATAACTCCAAGTGCTACTCCAGGGAAAATATATGAATTGTTTCCTTGGCCTGGGTAGTAAGTTTTCGACTTGTAAGTGACCGGGTTGAACGGTGAACCACTAGCAAATATGGCTTTGCCCTAGTATATTAATTGTACCATTAATATAATTTTAATGAGAATTATCTGTGGCTAAAACTTACATCTGAATGAGTGTACGCTTGTTCAGCAGTACATTCAGCTTTGCTGGTCGGGTTGCTCAAGGCAAAGATGACTGGATGATCATTGTATGACGATATTTCCTGTATAATTTCTTTTGTAAATACTCCACCAATAGCAGCAGCACCAATGAGTACTGTAGGTTTAACTTTCCTGATGGCTTCAGCAAGTACTTTGATAGGAGCTACATTTTTGACATACTCCACTTTATGTCCAGTTACTCCGCCCTCAGGACGGTCTTTCACTACAAGACCTTTGGAATCAAACAGCCAAATTTTTGATCTTGCTTCTTCCAAAGATGTACCTTCCTTAAGCATGGCCATCACACATAGTTCAGCAATTCCTAAGGCTGCCTGTGAAATGTTTTGCATTAATAAAATATTTAAAATAATTCCATGTTGAAATTTAATAAAGGGTTAGGTAAGTAGGGCTACTAGTATAATAAGAATATATTTATAACATTTTTGTCATACTAAGTATAATATTGTAATATATATTATACAATTTTGGAATTGTTTCTGTCTATAATACATCCAAGGATGACAAAAAAATGAAAAAATCTTTTAGGATATTATGAATAATGAATATTAATTAGGTACCTCTCCAGCGCCTTGGAATAAAATCACATTGTCGGATAATCTGGTTTTAGTGATCCGGAGAGAAGCAAAAAGACCAGCTAATGCTACAGAAGCAGTTCCTTGAATGTCATCGTTAAATGTGCAATATTTGTTACGGTATTTGTCCAAAAATCGGAAAGCATTAGAATTTCCAAAGTCTTCAAACTAAAATACATATTTTATTAAAGTTTATATTTTAGAAAATAAATATAAAAAAAGCATTACTTGAATTAGACAATTTTGTCCATAACGTTTCACAGCAGCTTGCATAAATTCATCAATGAAATCATCGTACTGCTGACCAGTGACACGTTTTTGTCTAAACCCAACATAATCAGGATCGTCCAACAGTAGCTGTTGAAAAGTATTCATTAAAAGTCAAAATATAATAAATGTCAACATTTAGAGATTTTCAAACGAAAAACTCACTTGAGTATTTGTTCCACAATCTAGTGTGACTGGAAGGCATTGGTGTGGTTTGATGCCAGCTAAAGCAGTGTATAAAGCTAATTTTCCAACAGGAATACCCATTCCGTAAACACCAAGATCACCAAGCCCTAAAATTCTCTCACCATCAGTGACAACAATAGCTCTAACATCTTGTTCAGGCCTATATATTACAAATATCGCTATTATTATATAGTCTTCTTATAAAAATATAAATATAAAATTATTCATATTCTGGGTGAATTTTTTAACAGTAAAAGCTAATTTATTATTCCAAAAACTACTAACATTTTTGGAAAATAACTTTTAAGACAATTGGAAGGGATTACTATTTTTTATCATTTTGAAGTAAAATATTTGTTTGATAATAATTTTAATATACCTACATAATATATATATAGATATAAAAAGAAAAGTTTTTATGAATTTCAAACTCAAATTATTTGCAAATATTCGTGATTTTAACGAACTTTGACACAATTTGAACTTCAGGCGCTCATAAAGTATTATTGTGGATTTACGCTGAACTTTTGTTTTAATATCCACTACCTATAACGACATTTTACGAGGAACTTGAATTACTCTATTAATTTTTTGACTAAACGAAATTTTTTTATCGACATTAGGTAATTAAAAAAAACTAATGGTAATTGAAAATTTAATATGCCTATAAATAACTGAACATGAGTCAAAATATTTTGAAAATTGTATGATGTATAGAAAATGCTAATATAAACATTGGTAAAAAATTTACCAAAGACCAAAGTTAGCGTAAAAATTCCTGTTTATCATTAATTTTTTTCACCGACCTTTTCGGTAACTAGGTACTGAGAATTTTACTCCCGAATGTATCAACTAGATTCACTTTCCCACCGGAAAAGACGCTGAAGTTGAAAATCGAAGCATTATTTTGACTAGTTAGATGAATTGTACGTAAAGTTGATAAATTAGATGAATTGTACATTTGTACTAAAGTGCACACAAAAAAAAAATACATATCATTGTAAAATCAATATATTCATTGCTCCGCTCAGAATCTAAAACCTACCCCGAGCGAGATATACTTTGAAATTTAAGATGTCAGATTATTTTCGTTCAGAATCTATTTTTGTATAGGTACAATGGTTTATCATTTAATACATAATACTATATTATGGTGACTCACGATTTATTCAATGACGAGGTACGCTAAATACCTACTGTATAGCAGAGCCGCAGAGGGGTTACTTGCTTTCCCCCTTTTTATACATTAAATATATTCTGTTCAGGAATATGAAATAAAAAAAGTTTTCAAATAAGTAACCACACTGCTGTACAGTTGTAGGTTTCGAGTGTACTTCGTCATTGAGGGCACTGTAAGGGATGTGTAAAATTTGAATTCAACTATAAATCATTGTGACAAAAATTAAAGGTAGAAAAACAATACTGAGCAAACATTCAGGGGCGGACTGGGAATACAAATTAGCCTCAGGGAAACAGAAAATTCGGCCCAATTTTAGGCTAATAATAAAATATTTATAAGTTATAGGCTCACATTTATTCAATCATCCCGATTTTTCTCCAAGCCCAGTCAGTAATCGCTCACCCGCCACCCTAGCCGGTCCACTCCTGTGAACATTATCAAACTGTTAGTAACCAAGGTTATACTAAACGATTGTATCTAATACATTTACAAAAAAACAGGTATTACAGGACATTGGTTCATAACAGACAATAATAGACACAATTGCCGTCCCTCCCCCCAATGAGTCTATTTTTTATTTTTTTTTTAATAATAAAATTACCGAATTGTAATCCCCAAAAGTTTAAAATATCAAATTATCGTGGCACTGTCAGCCCAAAATAAATGGGTGAATTTATTTACCAGTTCTTCAGTATATCATAAACATGACCGGCGTCATGGATGGATATGAATAGTCCTCTGGGTTTCTGGAAAATAAGGCCATACTTTTGACACGCCAATCCAACGGTTGGGGTGTAAACGAGCGGCATGAATGCTTCTACGTTCTCAGCCATTACCCTGTAGAAAAGTTTTTCGTTTCTCTCCTGCCAAAAGCATACATTCAATCGTGTTAGTGATAAGAACGCATTGTTTAGATCATTGTCATACATGCTTACTTGTAAACCCATTAGGTAAATGTATTTATTCAGGTCGTCACTAAAACGTTCGATGTTGGCCAAGGCATGTTTAACTTGCTCTTCTTGTGTCTTAACACGTGGTGGCAACAACCCATGAATGCCCAGGGCTTGTCTTTCTTCGATAGAGAAAGCCATTTCCTAAATGATATATTTTAAATTAGCATAGGTAGTTAAATGGTATATTTGTACATAGCATTTAAAATAATTTACCAATAATTAGGTACAATCTTTTTTGTAAATAAATATTAATACTCGTGTTTTAATATTTAACAATGAGGAAAAATAACAACAAAAAGATAATAAGTATAAGTATTGAATTATACAGCATTTCTCTTCAAAAGAAAACCTTGTGTTGAAAATAAATTTTTCTGTCCTGTATTATAAAAATGATCATTTTTCAAAAGATTTTCTAATCATTAACCTTTGGTGACACGACACGCACGGGGTTATTTATTTATCAACCCCATAATACTTTCAATATGCTGTAAAGTGTAAATTATTTTTGTGAATTTTCCTGCATACTCCATTGAGTCATGCTATATTTTAGTAATTATAGTATTACCACAATAAATGTCAAAATATATTTTTTTTTTTTATAATATCACAAACAAATTCAAAATTAATTAGTTCGTACCTATACGTAACAATTATTATTCCTACTTCAATATAGAGTAAAAAAAATATATTAGTTTTATAATTTCTAATATAGTAATAAACACTCCGTAGTCAATAAAACTAATAAAAATATTATTATTTGAAAAGAAAAAAATTACCCACGCAAGCAACTATGTGGTCCGATACCGGTCGTGTAACTAAAGAGTAAAGGTTAATGATAATATCGATGATATTAGATAAATCAAAGTTAAATTCAAAACAATATTTTAATTCAATTATAAAAGCGACATTTTAGTTTAATGTTATGATCAATAAAAAATTCGTCAACAATACATTTACGATAAGCCTCACAATAATTTATAAATAGATTATATCTTTTAGTTTTAAAAATATTTTAAATCTCGAACAAACAATAACAATCGTTAAAATAAGGTGTAGGGTTGTACCTAGTGTGGCGCCAAACCAATGTATTAGGTGTGACTGGCGCCACACCTATTTTAAGGGGTGGGTTTACCCCCAAATTTGGTGGGTAATCGTAATCCTAAGTATAAAAATAAATCGTACAAATATAAGAAAGATGACTTCCTAGTGTGTCGTAGCGTGCAGCGTGTACTGTATGATAACGTTAGAAATAGCAAAGAACTAATTAATAATTTAATTAAGGTTTTACCATTAATAAATAAATTCTAGTATTTATAATCAATAGTATTGTGTAAAAAGTCAAAGATCTCTAATAATATACCTAGTACATTTACTATTTTTATTTTACAAGTGATAAAACAATTAGTATTTATTGCCTATCAACTGAAATAGCTGGGGTGATGGCCCCCTGACACTCATGAATGAATTTTATTTTATAACGATTTGTGCTTTTATATTTTATTTTTATTTTGTGTCTGCAATCACCTATTATGACAGTAAAGATGGTTCAAATTTCTACTTCACCATCTTTTCTGATAGGAAAGTGAATCTAGTTGGTACTTTGTTGGGTCAAAACTCATAAGTAAAAAAGTTCCCAGAAATTTTCAAAAGCGACGTGAAAATCAAAAAAAATATTAACAAAATATATAAAAGTAATTTTAACACAAAACCAGTTATCGACAAAATCGATAATGTTTTTCTGTTGTAACTCAAAATGAATAACCGTAAAAACTTTATATTTTAATAACATATGAGATATTATAATATAATTTACAAGATATATCCTACAAGATATTCAATATATATTGACTCTTTTTGAGCGTCGATAAATTAATAATTTTCTCTCTCGGTCAAGTTGAACACAGTCCCACAATATATTATTTTTAATGTGTGTCTTAAGTTAAAACTTTAATATAATTCATTAAAATTGAGACAATTAAAAAATTTTCGATTATCTACCAAAGAAAAGTTAAAAGAAAACTTTACCAGAAAGTCACATTAATTTGTGTTGAGACTTTTTTTTTTTTTATTTGAACAAACATAATATATTTACAATCTGTATTTACAAGTGATACAATAAGTAAATGGGATGATTTTTGGTAAACAGGAGGGGGAAGTCACCCAGTGGCGGCACCCCGTGGAAGCGATTTAGGGAGCGTGTTGAGACTTAACTAGATAAATTTATATATTAATTGTGTGCTGTATGCTGTCAAAAAATCATTGGGGGTAAAAAAAATGTTACCCCCTCTGGAATAAGTTATTGGGGCAACACTGAAAACTATACCACGGTCCTTACAAAACATAAACTTTAGGTTATCTACATCGTGGGCTACATCTTATATTAATATTATAACCTCCCTACACGACGAGCAAACAATTTTCTTTCACGAAATTGATGCAGAGGCGTGACAAAAAAAAGTAAGTGTGGCTCGCTCGGGAAGACAATTTCAGCCTTGTGTGAAATTCGGCTCTCTACTGCGGCTCGTGCCACACACGTCGCCTACGACTGAAAAAGCTCACTTTCCACCCTTGCCACACAATATACTTTTTACCAGTATTACCTACTATTGTCAATAACTTCAGTGACGTTATATAATATTATTATTTATATATCTTATTTTATTTATTATTATATTTTTATGACACATACACTCTATGTCCTACATAAAATTGATAATATTATACTGTGTTTGCTAGTTGGCTAGTACATAAAAAATAAACATATTATGTGTAATATATTAATACCACCATAACTGCTGGCTACAAATATTATTATTATTATTATTATTATAGGAAGCTGGTGACTAGTATATTGTTTATTGTTGACAACGGTTGTTATTATACACTGTGTAAAAGTTTAATCGAATAGAATTAGTTTATTTATATAAATATTGTAATATTTCGACAGTGAATATTGTTTTAATAATTTTATCCAATAAGTCTTTAATTTTTTTGAAGTTGCCAGTTGGGTATTTATAGTGTTTAAAGTAAAGTAAAGCAATGGCATCAATTAACTGAATTATTTTTCCTAGACTTAAAATAGCTGTCAACACAGTACTTAGCACGCACTAAGTTTTACACGTGAAGTGATATTTCGTCAACCAATTAAGATGTGGCTGCAGGTCGTAGTTATGCTAATGTTATAGTTGTAGTTAGTTTTTGTTTTGCCTGCGTTCATATTACTTAAAAAATAAGTATTTAAAATAAGGTAATTATATATAAGGTATCAATGCAGACTCTAAAAAATTAAAAATATTTTAGACATTATAATATCAGGCCTATATAAAGGTATATAGGCCTATATAAATATATAATATTATAAAATGTAGGTACTTTAAGTATTTGATTAAGATTTTAACTCATTAGGTTACCTAATTATTTTTGAATTACAACAAAAAGTCAAAAACATGAAGATACATTTAATTCAAAACTGGTGTTATGTAAATATTACCGTATTACCGCTGTTTTTTTGTTGACTAGTTGTTACCTATTTTTGCAATAGTTAAATAGGTATAACTTATATTTATAAATATTTTAACCTTGTTTTAAACTTTTAGTTCTTGGCTTTAAAAATTGAACATTAGATATATACATTTTTAAATACAAAATAACTTGATAATGTTTGCTCGATTATGATGGATTTTGTCAAAATTTGAATTTAAAATGCTTATAAAAATTGTTTGCCTTTAATCTTTATATGTTCATTAATTTTGAACTTCAGATATGGGTAAATGTTCAAGATTTTGATTCAGCAAAAGAAATTATTTAACGACCATAAATGAAAAAAAAATCGAAAAGGAGGTTTTAGTTTTGTAATTTATCATTTTTGTCATTGGTTTTTACTTTTTACTGACGTTTGAAATTTTGATGTCCGCCAACAATTTCCAGTTCCCGATGTGGACCTTTAAAAATATTAATTAGTGACCCCTATATTATATTATATTATGTACTAGCTACTTAAAATTTACAACTTCTTTTACAATTACACAGTTTTTTGATTTCATACCTAAATACTATAAGTTCAAAAAAATGGATATATTTTACAATATTAGTATACCTTTATTGATTTATTTTTCTTAATAATGGCATCATCTACCATCAGTAAACGTCTTTGATTTTTTGAACTTTTTCAGTATCCTTTTTTGATAGGTACATTTTATATTTTTTAATTATTATAATACATACTATTTGTATAATATTTCAAATTTTATAGAAATAGAATAGATCTATATATTTTGGGTTTTTTAAATGTTGAGCAATGAAAAAATACCTAATAACCGGTAAACATTTGATTCCTAACGATTATTAGGTAACACCGAATTGAACATTAATGGACATATTTAATTTATTTTTTTTTCATATATACCGTCACACTTTGTATAGTAGATACATTATACGAATATACATAATTATTAATTTGAATGTTTACATGGTTTTCTATAATCATTAAAATTGTATTTGACTATGAACCTATACCTAGTTTATTATATTTCTATGATTAATTAATAGTTAGCTGTTTAAGTCTTGCTAATACCAAATAACATTACGTACCTAGTCCAATATATTTTTTTTTTATATTATTTCTGAAACCTTAATTTACACTGGTAAATATATGAAAATATAATATACAATTTAACGTGGTCGGTATTAGAGTTCATTGTATGGTGACCTGGTAAAGCGCGGTGATTGGACGCAGTCACTAATATAGTAATATGTGCAGCGGTCGAGCAGGTTCCCAGATGGGTGACCACCCGGGTTCTTTGTGACGATCTATCTGCCTGATATAAAAAAAAACGCGTACCAACCGTAGCCCCCACACAAACCGAATGGGGTTGCCGAGTGTCAAAAAAACGAAGTTCATTTTTGATTTATTTTTGAACCTCTCGCATGACATAGTGAATTGCAAGTTAAAATAATGGTGTGGAATATTGTGTACAGTAAAAACTAGCTAATAACCATGCAGTTTGAAGTCTTAAAAAAAATGATACTATAACCTCCTAGGTTAACAAAAGGACTTCAATTTATTGGCTGCGGCTAAAATAGTATTTGCACCTTTTTATCTGCTAGTCAGCAATGTCAAAAAAAAAAAATAAAACATTATA